CATTGGGAAAGTGCCATATATATCAAACATTGTCACCTAGTTTAGGGGGATATTTCAAGTTCAGTTTCAATCCAGCTAGTGCACCGCATGATAGCAATAATTATTGTCAATTACAAGTAATGTACGTAACTTTCTACTTCACAGGATGCAATACGCTGTTTAAACTCGCTGCAGACAAATGCCGAAACGCTGGCTAGAATACGCAAGGAAGGCGGTCGTGATGTTCAGCGTAACATTCCAGACATGATCACGTTTGCACAGAGAGCTGGCATCACGGTTGGTAGTAAATTTTAGCCAATGGGATAATCATACACTGTATGCTTACGTCGCCGGAGAATGATTCTTAATTAACCGGGAAGCTGTGGTGTGTGGCTGTGTCGCCACTGAACATATGTATTTAGATCTGTTTGGTTTGTTCGTCACACATTTATATCAGTCATATATATATCCTTACTGGTTGTACTTCTTCCAAAATGTATGACTTCCAGACTATTAAAATTTGTTCCTTTCATAGGCTTTTGTGTGACGAAACTACATCATAATGAATATCCAAATTCTTTGGTGTCTATTTCATTGTTGATCTTTTCTTTTTCTATATTTACCTAATAATTAGAGGACATATATAACTTCAACCAATAAGATTTGATCGCCCCGGGACAGTAGTGGATCCATCGGCCAATACTTTGCTAATAATGTTAGCCTTTATGCCATGTTGTCTCAGCAAAACTAAAACTTCACGTATATAATTTTGGTGGTGATGAACTTCAAGAGTGGCATGTATATCCAATAAAGGAGCTTCTAAACTATTCATACATAATTTCCATATTGCATCGCCCACTGAACCCCGATATTGTGTCGCCCAGGTATATAGCTGCATGCTCATGTTCTGACTGGTATAATTTATTTGTGTCAATGGTGACTGTACTTGTGACCGTCTACAGAAAGGATCTGAATGATTATTGATCATAACACTGATCAATGTACTCCCTACAGTGGCATAGTTAGGGGGGGCAAAGGGGGCACGCCCCTTCCCCCTGTTGATCCGAAAGTAATAAGAATTGCTCTACTAAAAAGAGAATTGTTGTAATCAGAATGAACTTTGAAGGCTGTACATGTACTCAAAAGTGCCTCAAATACCATCTCCTGCGATCTACATTTTCAAAGTTTTCAGGAGGAGGACCCCCAAACCCCCCACCTGTCTTACTCCCCCCTCCTTGGAATCCTGGATCCGCCACTGAACAGTTGCATATCTTGGGAGCAGAGAACAATGAACAAATATGTCGCCTTTTTGCATGGCGCCCAAAACAAAAATTGCAGAGCTGCGAGGTGGGGGAGCGTAGGGTGTGGAGAGGGAGGCGAAGGAAGCATTAAAATATTAAGTTATCCACTATTTTGCACAGTTCACTGTTTTTGGCCCCCCCTTGTTAAAAAATTCTGGCTACGCCATTGACTCCCTACACCCCACCCCAGACAGACAGACAGGATGTGAATGATTATTCATTATAACACTGAATGGCAATAACATTTATCACGGGTCGAGAATATATTAAGCAGGGCGCGACAAACCCGCTTGCCCACCAAAATTTTCGTTTGTAGCACCCTGTATTAAGCTATAGTAATAAATCTACAGTGACTCCTACAGACGGGTGAGAATGCGCTTGCATTGTGTGTTCCCAATGTTGAATATATAATTAATAGAAAATTATGATTCCGAGGCCAAATGGAAAGCTAAATTCATTTTTTTCTCTGACAGCTGGATGCCTTAGACAAGCTTAATGTTATTCACGTGAGTGGAACGAAAGGCAAGGGATCAACGTGTGCATTTACAGAGAGCATCCTTCGACAGTATGGCTATAAAACAGGACTGTTCACGTAAGTATACATGTACTGCATGACCATTGAATCACACGCAATCACACCGTTGCTCACTCATTCCACAACAAAAAAAAACATTTAAAAAGAAGAGCTAATCAGCTGGGTAGTTACGATAGTGAAAAAAGTTCACATATTTTTTTCATGATTGTTCGTAGCCATCTGGGCGTGCATTCGCAATTACATTCGTTTAAATACTTTATGTCGAAACAGGTCGCCCCACCTAGTGGAAACCAGAGAAAGGATCCGAATCAATGGATTGCCGATCGAGAAGAAACTGTTTGCGAGTTACTTCTTTGAGGTCTATAATCGGCTGATCAACACAAAGGTTTTTAATTTCTAACAGTATTCTGAGATTCCCACATCTCCAGCTTGTTTAGGCAACTTAGACCAACGTAGAGTTTACACAGTAGACTTGCACCAAATCTAACTAGGCTCCTCAGAGTATTTTATATTAGTTTAGAAGATTATTATTTTAGATTATTTTCAGAGTATTTTAGATCGAGTGTACGAGAGCATGCTATGCGTGCCGCGCTCGTTAATGGACCACGTTAATTAGATAATTACCCACCGCGCAGAACCAGCATGATCCGGAGGTTGGGATGCCCGCTTATTTCCGATTCCTGACGTTGATGTCTCTCTACGTATTCGTCGAACAAAAAGTGGACGTCGCCATCTTGGAATGCGGCATCGGCGGAACGTACGACTGCACGAACATTGTCAGGTGCGAACGTGTAGCGAGTAGGAACCCGCCGTCCTCCGCGCATGCGCCCCCTCCCCTTTCGCTTTGCCGAATCCAATGAAAAATCGATTCCTCATCCTCCGCGCACGCTCGCTTCCTCTTTTTCATGATTGCTGCATGCGGTCATTAGGAACCGATCATTGTGAAAAATGAATTCCCCGTCATCGAACGCAAATGCAAAGTTTATTTTGGCTCATGAAGATACAGACATTACCATCCCGGCCGCAGTCGCGGTGACGATGATGCGTTTGTGTGTTTTGCATGTCTTTTGAGACGTGTATCATTCGCCGTGGCTGCAGCGAATGCAGCTGCATCGCCATGACGACGTGTTAACCGCTGCTCGTGTGTTTTGCGTCGACAGGAAGCCGGTCGTGTGCGGCGTGTCGTCGCTGGGCATCGATCACGTGTCGTTGCTTGGTGACACCGTGGAGAAGATCGCGTGGCACAAGGCCGGAATCTTTAAGGTGAGACGCGCGACGCATGTGTCGTGGCGTGGCGTGGCGTGGCGTGGCGTGGTGTGTCGCGGTGTGTCATCGCTGGGCATCGATCACGTGTCGTTGCTTGGTGACACCGTGGAGAAGATCGCGTGGCACAAGGCCGGAATCTTTAAGGTGAGACGCGCGACGCGTGTATTGTGGCGTGGCGTGGCGTGGCGTGGCGTGGCGTGGCGTGGCGTGGCGTGTTGAGTAGTGTGTGGTGTGGTGTGGCGTGGCATGGTGTGTCATTTCATGTCGTGTCGTCTTATATCATGTCAGGTTATGGGTCGTCGTGTAATCTTGTTCTGTGGTGCGGTGTCGTGGCATGGTGTGTCCTGTAGTGTCGTGTGGTGTCGTGTGGTGTGATGTTGTGTATGTCATGTCATGGCGTGGTGCATCGTGTTGAGTCCTGTCGTCTGTGGTGTTATATCGTGTCATGATGTGTTAGATGGGTGATCTTGTTGTGCTGGTGATAGCAGTGGTGGCAGTAGCGGTGGCAGTAGGTGGCAGTAGCGGTGGCAGTAGCGGTGGCAGTAGCGGTGGCAGTAGCGGTGGCAGTAGCGGTGATAGTAGCGGTGGCAGTAGCGATGGCAGTAGTGGCCAGCACTCG